GAAAGAACAGATAAACCAGAGTTGAGAACCGGGTTGAAGATGAAAAAGGAGGTGAGAGTGGGTACCGAGGGAGGTGGAATCGAGATTGAGTTTGGAAGATAATTGTGGGTCGTTTGCAGGGGATATGATTCTTTGTCTGTGAACTCAAAGAAAGAAAAAGACATATGTTTGATTTATTACTTTGACCCTTCGCTGCATGCGGTTTGGCAACGAATTGTAGTTTCCAAGAGAAAGATCACTCAATTAGTTTGGTACATACAAATATTATGGGGCTTGCTTTACTCGACCTCACATAATTGTGATAATTATTGACACGTGACAAACTTTGTGGTAGAATTATCAGTTTATCACACAGTTTATTAGTATAATTAATTATAGTTGACATAAGACTAAGACCTAAGTGTTCTCCTTTTGTCTTTCTGTAGTACTTATTGTTATTATTATTATTTTGAAACCTCCTAATGCATACCACAAATCTCCTAAAACAAACCACAAATCTCACAAAGCAAGCCACAACATTTGCGAAAGCACACCAGAAACCTCCTAATGCAAACCAAAAATGTCATAATTTAGACCACAAATATATTAAAACAAACCAGAAAACTCGCAAAGCAAACCAAAAAAGTTTCGAAAGCACACCATAAACTTCTTAATGCAAACCAGAAACCTCCTAATGCATACCACAAATCTCCTAAAACAAACCACAAACCTCACAAAGCAAACCACAACATTTGTGAAAGCACACCAGAAACCTCATAATGCAAACCACAAACCCAGTAAATCAAACCACAAAAAAAGTAAACCAGAAACGTCCAAATGCAGACCACAAATATATTAAAACAAACCAAAAGCCCCTCAATGCAAACCACAAAATTTTTGAAAGCAAACCAGAAACTTCTCAATACAAACCACAAACACGATAAAGCAAACCAGAAACTTCTTAATGCAAACCACAAACACGATAAAGCAAACCACAAAAAGCTTACCAAAATATGAGAAACCAAACTATAAATCTCACAATGCAGACCATAACATCCACTGGTCGTTGACCGTTGACCGAACTTCGATGACCGTCAGTGAGCAGATTCCGACGTCGGTAAGCATATTCCGACGCTGATAAGCATATTCCGGTGACAAATAGCATATTCTGGCGACAAAAAGCATATTCCGGCGACCGAAATTTTGGGCCAAAAATAAAAAAAATATTTTTTATTTTTTTATTTTTTAAACTTATTTTCATAATGACAATTATACCCCTGCTTTGATTTTACACTAGGTCAACTCGTCTAATAAAAAGTCATCACAACCCTAGCTTCCTATTGGTTGTCATAGTAACCGGTCCCCCCGAGAATTGGGGACGCGAATATGATAATTCAAGTACTAATATCGTAAATTCAAAAAGTATAAGTATTGTGACGGTAATTCTGTTTCAGTCTGCGAAAAAATAACCAGATTAGTCCCCCTTATTATCTGTTCGAACAGCTTAGTCCCTATTATTTTGAAAAATGACGATGGGCCAAAAGTAGTATTTTATCAAGATTATTATTATTATACTAATTTTAAAGTATGTATTTTCGGGAGGTAATAATTTTATAAATAGTACGAAATCAAGAGGATGGTTGAGTATTAATCTGAAATTTTTTGGAGCTGTTTGTCTATTTATAAAAATAGTTAGAAAAAGGTTTTTGGTAAACTAAAATATTTTGCGAGTGTTTTCGTCCAATTTGGAATTCTTCGTGAAAGCTGGACGCCAGTCTAGTTGTTCAGAAATTTTTGGAGAATTTTTGGAGTCGTGATGTTAATTTTTAAAATTAAAATGATGACAGGTTTAACTTATTTAATTATTGTATGAGTTATTTTTATTAGTTAGTTAAGTTTTTGCAAAACTAGAATTTTGATGTCACGTGTTAAAATTAAAATCGAGAATTTTAGGTGTTGTTAGTATAGATCTAAAATTCCTTATTGATAAAATTGAATAAGTAGAAGGAGTTAGTTAGGGTGTAAATTTTACTCGATAATTTTGGTTCATGTTTAGAATTATTCTACGTCAGAATTTTGAGTTCTAAAGAAGTAAAATATTTTAAGAAATTTATGAAATTTATTTATAAGAGTTTAGAGTTGACAGTAGTAATTCAGGTCCTGGTAAAATTTGGGGAAAATCATAGTCAAGAAAATTATTTCAAGAAGTTCAAGGGTATTACGAAAGGAAGTTGTAATGGATTATTAATTATTAATAAGCCTGGAATTGATTCTTCCTGGGTCGATGCCCGAGCGGTTAATGGGGACGGACTGTAAATTCGTTGGCGTTTAAAGAATTTTGGGACTAAACTAGGAGGACGGAAAACTCTTCGGAATGCCGACTAAGGGTAATTCATCTCAATTGATAGGAATAAGGAAGCGATCAAGTTAAGGATCTCCGCGTCCAACGAATTAAAGTATCGACACTTGAGAGGTGAGTGTAAAGGGGGTAAATTCTATGCCTTACGGTATTTTGAGTTCATTGAGATTGATTGCTATGTGTCGTACTGGTCTTTGTGTGTTTCTGTGATGGCATGTGAGTTTGCGTGAATATGTTTTCAGTTGTATGTTATTGCATGCTTTCCTTACAAGTAAGTTCAAGTTTAAGAAACAAGTACTTTTTAAGAAGTAACTCACCTTTAAGAAGGTGAAGTCGTTTTAAGTGTTTTTAGTCACTAGTGCCAGTCCGTTGCCATTTGAAATTTTGAGACAGAGCAGCAGTTATGCTCTTGAGATATTTTAAGATGAGCAGTAGTTATGCTCTTGAGAATCGTGGAAGAAGAGCCTTCCACGATAAGTTTAAGTTTAAGGAAAGCTTGGATGGCTTCTCATACGTATGAGTTGGCCACCGGACTAGCTAGTGAGGGATCCCCGTGTTAGTCAAAAGATTTAAGTCAAAATTTGAGCTTTAAGAAGGGAGAGTAACTTTAACTCCCGAAGAATTTTGAGAGTTAAGATTTTTAAGAATGGAAGTACAAAATAACTTCCACTAGTCGAAGTTATGTATTTAGCGAAGAATACCAAAGTAATAGATTTTAACGTAAGTGCGTAGACTGACCCCAACTCACTCACCATATCATAGAGGAGTAGATCATAACCAGCCAGTTCGTTAGCAGCATGCTAGAGGAGTTCAACACCACCGTCGTTTAAGAATGTCGAGCCAAGCGTCAGAGTAAGCACTGGAGAACTTGTTAAGTTATTAAGACTTTATGGTTAAGAGTTAAAGACTGAAGATTCATTTCTTTTATTTCTTATGAAGAGTACAATTTAAGTTTTGCCCACGTGTTTAGGGTTTCGCTTTGAGATATTAAAATGTTTGAGTTCGGTATTTTATTTGAAGTTGTGTTATTTGAGGTTTTTAATTATACCCCGGGTTAGAAATGTCTTTTTCCAAGTTCAAAGTAGTGGGATGTTTCAGTTCTTCATACCCAGATGAAAAGGGAGTTTACTCCATGGAGAGAAGAGGAAACATCATGCTATGAGGAGAAATCATCATGTGGACAATGAATATCTGCTCCAAGCGGCTAATCGGTACTCCGAGAGTGAAGAATTGAGCCCTATGGTCTTCAGATCGCTCCAATCCTTGCCCAAGGTTTGTTCTTCGTCACTTTCTCTCTCTAGGGTTCTCTTTCTGCCTTTACAAATCCAAAAATCCGGATCCTTCGCATTCCACCCGAGCTCCCCTTTTATTTGCTGGAGATTCTCGAGTTACGGTTGTAACTTCTTCTCCTAGCCCGTAATTTCTCCCGAAACATCATCGTCGTTGTACTCCGTAAAACGAAGAGTTATGGCTCCTTGAGAGAAATGGTTGAGACCATAACTTTGACGAGGGGGGTCATAACTTCAAGAATCCTCCTGGAATCTCATAACCCAACACAACCTAGCATAAAATAGGTCACAAGAGCGAGAAAGTGAGCTCAAACGATCAAGAAATGAAGGGAAAAACAATGTTCAAATACAACGTTATCGAATTCCCCCACACTTAACCGTTTGCTTGTCCCCAAACAAACCAAGTCAGATATAAGACAGCTTATTTGATTTTCCATTCAAAGCATTTTTGGGGACACGACATATGGCGCAAAACACATCGATCTCAACAGTCAGCTAGTACAACACATGAATAACAGCAACAACGACCTCAATGACCATGCAGATGATAACCGATTGCAACAAGATTATGCACAGGAAGAATCTATCTACTGTTCACAAACCAAAGCATGACACAACTCGTCTACTCGCACAACACAGTCAACCATGCATATAGTTCAAGCCACCGGAACTAAAGACTGAGCAAGCAAGCTCCTCAGCGGGATATAGAATACAAGAAAATGAATCGCTCACTCTCGACTAGTGGGGTCATGACAATTTGATGCGAAAAATGCGCATTCTCATTCTCTCAATCCTAACATCTTTTCACCATGATGGCAGCCTCTAAATGCTAGAGTTCACATATCGGGTGTCACCACTAACTAATCAGGAGGTCTTAGACACGGGTTCAAATGACTGGCTAGGGTCTTGAACATGGGGGAAAGGCCTTTTTCGGTGGTGGAAGAATTCATAACACAAGGTTCCACATATGAAAACCAAACAACGACATTCATTCGACCCAAGTACTTTCTTTATGCTAATCTGCCTTAATCAAGTTCTTTAGAGTGCAAGAGGTAAAGGAGGACACAACATGTTAGTGTTTCCAAGCCAGACTGCTAAGAAACAGTATGTTATGAGCATGATTTAGATTTTTGTGGTAGTTCTCTTTTTCTTTCATTTGTTTCTTATTCTATTTTTTTTTCTTTTTTTCTTTTCTTAGTTATTGCAGAAAAAAGTAGACGACATGCAAAAACCACTTTGTGGAACCTCAAGGAGATACAAAAGGGGTGATTTTTCATTGTAGACCAAAAGAAAGAAAGTTACATGACTCAAAGGGGCTGACTAGGGGGTATGACACATCAGGAAAGTCAATTTGGTCGTGGGTTAAACCTAAGCCTCTATCATCCTATTTAGTGGCAACGTGAATGCTACACATCATGGAAGAGGGATTTATCAAAAGAAGAAAACGAGCATGCTCAAATCTCACATGGTTACCTATATGCTCTATCTCTCATTCTGATTTCCTGAACTAGATGCAAATGGAGAAAACCTGCTTGGAGCCCTCAAAATTTTAATTTGGAAAGTGGACTATGCTCCAAGCACACAAACACATAGAAATAGTCAAAGAGAAACCACCACCCTACACACACACTTAAGATAGACATTGCCCTCAATGGAGAAGAGGGAAGGATAAGGGGACCGATGTTAGCAGTAAGAATGGACTGCAGTGGGACTGGAAAGGGGACCGGTCATCATGAGAGGATTGGAAGAAGGACCAGTTTCCGAGAATAAAGGCAAGACAAAACACAACCACTCACACTGGGCAAGAGTTAGGAGAACATTTGTCAGTCCCATGGCTTTAAAAAGAAGAAAAGAAAAACCAAACACACAAATTATCCAGTTTGACACACAAAAATAAGAAACATAACACAAGGAGCCCGTGATCTAAGGGTAGGCACAATCATCCTCGTCCTCATCCAGAGCAGCGTATGGATGCCAGAAAGTCTGGGTGGTGTCAACGTTGACTGGCGAGCATAGGCGCTCCAACATCAAATGTGAGTAACGGCGGGCATCACGCTCATGATCCATGCGCGAGTCAATCCGATCAAAGCAAGCAACCATGGCCGCCCACAGTCGTTAGACGGCGCGGCTGAGGAAGAACCGGCACTAGAGAGACCGTGGAAGAACTGCAGCAGATCTGCATCCCACTGAAATGGTGGAACTCCACATATGGTAGGAGCCTCGGTAAACTCGGCAGGGCGCAAGCCCTTAAGCCAGCGGATCCCTCCTCGCGACCCAAATCATCCCCCAGGAGTACAGGTCACATCGGGGAAGTCTCTGGTGTGCTCGACCCAAGTACACCCATCGAGGGGGCATGCCGAAGTATCAGGCAAGCTGAGTGATGTAGGGCCCAACGTACAGTGTGATGACCTTCAAACATGGTGTGTTGTGCGTACATGTGCCTCTTCGTCACCTGACCGGAGGCCTCCCCACCGGGGATGGTAGAATGAGCAAGCTAGCCCTGGTCCGGCTGTGTGGATAGGTAACCCCGACGTGCTGCTGCAGGCAGATCCACTCGTAAAAGGCTACAATCCACCTGCAGAATGGTGGGCTCCACCTGTAACTGGTCATCGGGGTCCAGGCAAAGGGTGGCGGTGAACTCATTGTAGGACAGACTGTGGTGCTGACCCCTGAGCCGGAAGGTGACTACACCAGCCTCATAGGCATGCCACTTCTTGGAGTGGCAGAAAGTGTTGTAGAACTCCAGCATGGGCTCCTCGAAGATGTCCTGTTGGAGCTCCAGGAGGCGGCGCCATTGCGGGTGGGGAATTGTCGCCTCAATGGCGTCACGGCAGAGGAATAGCTCGAAGTATGCCAGATTGAGGCACTAGTGAATCCCAAAATGTGCCTCGAGCATCCGGGCAAAATGCGCATCATATGCCTCGATGTAGTGGTGGCCGTGCAGGAAGCGGTGGCCCAGGTTGACCATTTCCATGCAAAACAAAAAGCACAGAGCTCGAAACCTATTAGTACCAACATTAGTGGGGAAAAATAGTCAGCAAAGCCAACATTCCTCCATAATTAAGCTCAATCCACTAGACTGCAGAACAAAAATCTGCAGAAACGGGACACTAAACCAGTATCTAACAATGCACAAAAGCATGCAGACCAGACATTCTCAGGCAAACACATTATCCTGACTAAAACATCTAATCAAGCAGAAGCGGTTCAATTCTCCCTACACTCTACAATCTGATTCTACACAAACACAAAATCTGGGGAAAAAACCAACCTGGAGACACAAGGAAGAGAATAGAGTAAGGGAGAAGGCGAGAGGAGAGCGACAGAAAAGGGGACCCGTCAACCGCCGCCGGAAGCGATTTACAATGAGGAAGAATGGTGGCCCACGGTGGAGCAGAGGGTGGCGGCCGATGTGCCTCGCCGAGATGAGTCCAGCAGCGCCAACGGCGCCTCGATCAGAGGTCGGATACAAGATCAACGCAATGATGAACGAGCATTCTTGAAAAACACACCATCCATTTCATCGGTGCAAAAGTACGATCTAGTCTTTCCTATACACAATCATCTCCCATTCTCCTATTCGAACAGGTGAAAGGACAACCCCTATAGGCCAAATTTTGGATCCGCAAAGCTCTATAAAAGTCATGAAAATCCTGCGAATTTCAAGGAGACCAAGGATTTCCACCCAATTTCTCATCAGAAGCTAAGTTAGCGTTGAAATGCCCCGTAACAATGTACGGACAATAGATCCCTAATCGATAAATGCAAAGGATCTCTAATTGAGCTTGGCGAATCACCACTACACAACTAAAGTAAACAAATACCATCATATACAGTATTCCATTATTTTGAATAGCAACAAAAAAAAACGTGCTACAAAGCGCTAAAATATAAATTATGTGGGACCAACATACCGTTAAAGCTCCTGCAGATTCAACAACATCAACTAAATAAAAATTAGAAAATCTAAACCTCGTATATGTCGGGAAACCTCTTTCCTATGACACTTTAGAAAGAAAAACAACTTCAGGATTATTAGAATGAACGACACCTAACAACGATTGGAATGTAAGGGATGACCCTTTCTCAATTGGCTTCGTTCGTCGTATCACTTTTACTCTCATCAGCAGCTTATGTGCATCTCTTTTTCTTCAAAGTCGGATTCTCATCGACAAATGCCACCATCTCAACCGATCTTTTCGGGTCCTTCATTTCATCATCATCATCATCACATCTGCATTTCCAGTTCCCCTCGAGATGAAAATTTATTCATCTAACTCTTCTACTTCTTGTCCACACCCTTGTGAACATGAACTTTTCCTTCTTCACATCCTGCCCCTCAACTGTCATAGCTCCAAATTGCTTGGCACCATCTGTTGTTCAGCACACGCAACAGGGGTGGCTTTATGGCCCGTCCCACCGACCTTGCCACTCTCTGAACCGCCTAGTTCCATCTTCTAAACTTCTTTGGATGAAATCTCCCTTCCATTTTTGGTCAGGACGAAAGCGAACTGATGAGAATATATATATATATATATATATATATATATATATATATATATATATATGGTGACTATTCAGTGCACTCACAAAACATGAGTGTGTTCAATGCACCCAACTAAAACTAGTCTTAAGGTGTCGGATTTTGAATTCTAATTTGTAGAATTAGTGTAATATGATGATATAACATATGATAAAAACTAATTAGCGGATTACCCTAAGCCCTAGACCTCCAATTTTGAGTTCTATCCCTAAACCCCAAATTGTAAATCCTAACCCTAACCCTAATGGTTTTTGTGCAAATTCATGTGCATTATTGTTCATCACATCATAAGTGATTATTGACATCATTTTGATATAAATCGCATGTTTAAAATGACGGTTATAAAGCGAGTGCACTGAATGCACCAAAAAATATGAGTGCACCGAAAACGCCACTATATATATTAATCTAAATCTAAAGAATATATTATAGAATTTCCTACAAAACGCTTCAGAGATTCAAATTCTCCCCCTCCTCACGCGTCCACGTCATCACCTGTTTCCCTCCATTCTTTTTAATGGCACACACAACTGAAAAAAAATTCTTATAACTTCCACATGAGCCTAACGCCTATTCATCCACGTCATCGTCACCACTAAGTGAATTCAGGACTCCTTCCGTCAATTTATAATTTCCCGTTTGGTGCAGACTAATAATAACCTCTCACTGGCCGTCTTCCCCAAAAATCGCTTAATAGAGATTATTTATTTATGTATTTTAATATGTTTTGTCTACACTGCCCGTCTTCCTCCATAAATATGTTGTTCACATCCCATAAAAAAAAGTATGTTGTCCACGTTATTTTATGAACAATTCAAATTCTCCCCCTCCTCACGCGTCCACGTCATCACCTGTTTCCCTCCATTCTTTTTAATGGCACACACAACTGAAAAAAATTCTTATAACTTCCACATGAGCCTAACGCCTATTCATCCACGTCATCGTCACCACTAAGTGAATTCAGGACTCCTTCCGTCAATTTATAATTTCCCGTTTGGTGCAGACTAATAATAACCTCTCACTGGCCATCTTCCCCAAAAATCGCTTAATAGAGATTATTTATTTATGTATTTTAATATGTTTTGTCTACACTGCCCGTCTTCCTCCGTAAATAAGTTGTTCACATCCCATAAAAAAAAGTATGTTGTCCACGTTATTTTATGAACAATTGAACATCCAAATTTTTTACCATTATCCTTTTTATTCTTATTTCTGTTGAGGTTGAACTTTTGTTTAAATTTTTGGCAAAATACACCTGTATAGCTATAACTTTCACACTTTTGACAAATATAGCCATTTCTATTCGAAAACCACAAATAGCCAATTCCGTCCATTTTGGTAGCGGTGTTAGTAGACATTATGACTCTACTAACGGCTTGTGCTGAGTTGGCCACATGAAATCCCTAAAATATATTTTCTCCATTGTTGTTCTCCAAAGCTTCCCTAAAATCTTTCCCTATAAATCAACGCTTCAATCGACACCCTCTCTGCTGGCTGGATCCCTCGAGGCCGAGAAGCACCTCAAGCCGCCGCCGCAACCCATCGCCACCTTCCTCCTATCATACCTCTTCCCAAAATCAAACTCCACCCAAACTTCTCAATGCTCTCCTCTCTCCCTTTCTCGCTCAGCCTTCCCCCATTTATTCAAGATTTTGTCACTAACCCTACCCTGAATCGGAGAGATCTAGAAATCTGCAAAAAAATTTGCAGATTTTGGCCGCCGCCGGAGGTGGTGGTGGTGGGGTAGCCGCTGCCGGTCGCCTCCCATCTCTCCTACTTCCATTCCCTTCACGATGTCGGTGCGCGATATGGGGAAATGAAGTTGTTTGGGTCTTCAGGTTTTCGATAGGGGGGAATGAAGCAGCAAGGCAGCGATAGGAGCTTGTTGCGGCTATCCTTTCGTCGCTGTCGTCGATGCTTTTTTAGATCCGCCGGTTGGAAGGCTCTGTTCGTTGCAAAACCAGAAGGCGGGTTGAGTAGACGCGACGACTGTGGATGACTGGGCGCGATGCAGCAGCAAGGCGACGGGTTGCCGGTCGTCGAGGTGATGGCGGCGGAGGATCTACACAGAACGACGTCGATTCAGATCTGCCGGCTCCGGCTCGTCTAGTCGTGAGATGGAAAAGGAAAGTGACGATATTGAAGCGGTGGGATTTGCGATCTGGAAATTTGTAAGAGATCAATGACTTTGTAACAGGGGAGAAGACGAGTGTATGATTTTGCTCTATGTCTTGTTGCGATTTGAAATTTTGGGAAGGAAGATGCGAATGGGAAATCTAAGAAGTCAGGGGATGGTTTGGTTGCATTTGGGGAAGAAAATGGTTTTTCGGAAAAGGGAAGAAAATGATTTTTAAATTAGTTATTTAATTTATTAAATAATTTATTTTTAAATTAAAATATGACATGGCACTTACGTGGCAAGTGTGGTTGAGTTGTCGATGATGTGTGCGATGATTTGGCATCCTAGTCAGCCTAACGTTAACCTAACTGACAGAGTTTCTAACACCGTTAAAGTTTCTAACTGAAATGGCTAGATTTCAACCATCCATTTTTTTGGCTATTTGTGGTTTTCGAATAGAAATGGATATATTTGTCAAAAGTGTGAAAGTTATGGCTATACAGTTGTAATTTGCCTAAATTTTTTTTAAATTGATAGTTGTCAAATGTTTTTCAAATGTGCTATTTTAAAACAAACGGTTTGTTTGGTTCATCTCATCATTAATGAATGATTATTCCTGGCATGAATTTAGTATTCATAAGAAATAGACATTTCACTATACAATTTAAACATTAGATATAATGAACTAACATTGATTCACGTATCAAGTATACGATGATAAATTTGAGTTGTTTAATCAAAAAATTTGGACATAAATTTGCACAATGAGAATTTCGAAACCTCCTTGAAGGATATAATTACGAATCAGGGAGATCAAATCATTATGAATCAATATGATAATTAAAGGTACAATTTTTGAAATTCAATGTCACATATATGTGAAGGCAAGGGATTTACTATTTACTTAAGAGGGAGAAGACTTTTCGCAAAAGCATATTAGCAATCCTAATATTTTATAAATATTATTAGACTTTTTCCTTCTAAAAAATGAACATGTAAAATGAATTGTAAATAGTTATCGAAAAACAGTTCCTTCATTACAATCTCATTAACGAATATTGGAAGACCTCATTAATGTTTTTGAAAATGAATTTTAAAAATAGAAATGACTTAAAATTTTTAAAACTATTAAATCATAGCTTTAAATTACTGAATCGATAATATAAAATGCAAAACTCACCCGGGCAACGGGTCGGGAATAATGCTAGTATATATATAAAGGTGAAGTGAGGTTACTGTTGTCTAAATTATTACATTTTGATACCTAAATTTAATTAAATTACAACTTAGTCACTATAATGTACATTTTACATTTTGATACACCCAATTTAATTTTAATTAAAATCATTGACAATTATGTTTTGATATCTAAATTTTATGGGATTTTCGTACCTATAATTTTTTACTTATACATATTGGTCCAATGTTTAGATATCTTGAATCCATGAATCCAATCCACCAATCCATTTGAACCAATCCATGAATCTAATCTATCATAACATAAAAGTATAAATTTATTTTGTACCATACAAGATGTTGTATCACTCAACTGTAGGAGAAGATTCGACCATTTTATATTTTCTCATTACGTGAAATATTAAAAAAAATGATAAAAGAGAGACGATTGTAAAATATTGTAAGAACGAATTTATAAACTCATTTAGTACATTTATGATGTACTAAACAAACTTCTACTAACTACATGTACTAAACAAACTTCTACAAACAGTCTAGAGAATTAATAATTGAACCATGGACACTAACTTTTTCAGCTCAATGTCGAGACTAATTAAAAACATATATATATGGTTATTACTTATTAGAAATTCGTCATTTTAATCGAGTTCCAGTTTGTATTCCTTCCGCTTCTATCTAGAATTTTTCATTTTCACCCGTGCTAGAATTTTCAACAATTATACATATCAAACAAATATTTTCTATTTTCTATAAAAATAAATAATTATCATCTTAAATAAATCACCATAAAAGAATTAAGTCTCAACTATGCAAATTATAGTTGGGTACCTAAACTTAGTAGATCTTTATATTTATAACCTAAATTTATTCTTTTGGCATGTAAGTCCTCAAAATATTTATGAAACATTACATTTTAGTACCTAAATTTTTTGTTTATTACATCTTAGTACCTGAACTTTTGAAGTTCTACAAATAGGTCTAAGTTTTATATGTATAATTAAAACACCCTCGAATAAATGGATATCCATACCCAACTCACACACATTTAGGTTATAAAAGTAAATATCTATACCTTACCCAAACCCATCTACAAACTTTCAAACCCATATATACGTCACACATACCTTATCCATAATCAATGAGTCTACTTGGGTTTAGGTAAATATAATTTATTAGCCAAAATTTTCAAATTTTTTAAATTGGATGTTGACCGTCATATATCTATTCTCCGTCTATATCATATTTTCAAGTAAATATTACTAACAAAAAATTAATTTTAGGCTAATACTAACAAAACACCATAATAGTCCACATAATACATGTTTATAGACCACCTCCCACCGTGTTTCTAGGTAAGGATCACGAACCCCTTCGCGATTTCTAAACTCGATTCATCGATAGTCTTATCTGAAACTCGTATTTTATTAGCGGTGACGTTTGAGGGTTCGATCATCGATCAACGAGGAGATCAACGTCCGGGTCATCCAATCTAGTCCTAGGCACGATCTAGAGGTAAGGGAACTCGATCCCTTCGAGTAAGGTCGATTAATTTTGGGATTTTTCGTGAGGGTGCAATTCTGGGTTTTTAGCAACAGACGTTACAGGCTTTTAGTGACAGATTTTGGGTGGTCACTAAAGCTGCTGGAAATTTGCAGAAACTTATATATTTTTATAATGGCGATGACTTTATTGAAATAAAAAGAAAGAGAAGAACATGAAAATCAAGTTATAAGGATCAAAAGCATTGATCCGACGCCGCCAAGCGTGAAGCGACCCTACAAAAGCAAATCAATCTATAACGAAAAAGGGAGACGAGACCCTCTCGACACCAACACACAAGATCAATAGCATTGTGTCCCCCTTCCTAACAAACACCCAAAGAAACCAAACCCCACCCCACATCCGAATCACACAGTGGTAAACAAGAGAATGCTTGTATCAATTCTCTTGCTGTCCACACCAATCTCCAAACTGACTCTTCCCATCCTACGTCAATAACAAGAAATCCCCACATCTCCCTATTCCCCCCCCCCCCCCCAAACACTCATTATGATCTCATTCCCATCACAGCCAGCCAATTTAAACCTTCCCCCACCTGTACTTTACCAGTAGCCACAATCTATTCCATGACATTCTTCGCCACCTTCTCTCCAACCACCATAGGAGTCAGTGCCTTAACCTCGAACACTCTTCGATTCCTTTCCAACCACACAGCCCACCACAACACATGAAGGGAGCATTCATCAAACCACATTTCAATCCCATCTCCTCGTGTACCTGGGCAACTAGTTATACTACTCCTAATATCTCCAACAATTCTTGGTATTATCCGCCTCCTACGGTATACTGCCCTCCAAACGTTCTTCACATATTCACATTCCACAAAAATATGAACCGCAGTTTCTTCCTTCTTCAAACATAGGCTGCATCTGTTAGCAAGACATATCCCTCTCTTTTTCAGGTTGTCTAGTGAAAGAATTCTATTATGGTACACCAGCCAAAGAAAGAAACAAACTTTGCTGGGTATCATAGTCTTCCATATTTTCTCCGCGGGGAAATCTTGAAATCCTCTGAAAGCATTCATAGCCAGCTGCCTATACATCATTCCTTACAGATATTTGCCCACACCGACATGGAAAAACCTCCTCTAGCACGCCTAGTCTGCCACCGAGATACCTGGTCTGGGTATTTGCAATCGATCAATTCCCGCCACCAACTTTCCCTCTCAACAGCAAACTTCCACAACCACTTAGATAACATCGCGTCATTGAACATCTTCAAGTCATGAATACCAGGACCCCCCTCCTTTACTGCTACTTTACAAACTTTCCAATCCACAAGTGCCATTTTGTGTCTCTCTGCCTTCGCACCCCACAAAAACCTAATTTGATACTTCTCCAACTCTTTCACCACCGAAATCGGGGCCTTGAACAACGAGAACAAAGATGTTGGTGTGCTAGACAGAATCGACTTTATCAACACTAACCTAGCTCCATATGACAAGTTCCTGCTTCCCCACCCACTCAACCTTTTCTGATACCTGTCCACCATATCATCCCAAATCGAGGTGTCATTCGGTTTAGCCCCCTATGGAAATCCCAGGTACTTCGGGGGTTCCCTACTCCATTTGCAACCGAAAATTGCAGCAAGAAAACTCGGATCAGCCACATCACCAACAGTGTACATTACCGACTTATCAAGATTAATCCTAAGCCCTGTCACCGTTTGGAAGTTCACAAGAGTAGCAATGATGTTCAGAACCTGTTTATAATCTGCATCACAGAATATTAGTGTGTCATCAGCATACAATAGGTGAGTAACTTCACCTTGCTTCCTGCACTCATCCATATAGAACCCTTCAAATCTTCCATCATCTCTAACCACCTTCAGCATCCTAGACAGAACCTCCATCACCATCACAAAGAGCCCGAGAGAAATTGGATCTCCTTGACGGAGACCTTTAGATACCGAGAAAAACCCAGTGGCCTCACCGTTCACGAGAACAAAAATGTTCGATCAAAACATAGACCCCTTTATCCATCTTCCCCACGCCTCCGGAAAACCCATCGATTCCATTATCTTCAACAAACATTCCCAATTTACATTATCAAACGCTTTTTCAATATCGAGTTTGAACATAAGGCTCGGTTTCCTGCTCTTGCCCCTGCTATCAACCAACTCATTTGCCAGCAAACCGGCCTCAGCAATTTGTCTCCCTTGTACCGACGAGTGTTGCTGCTGTGATATCAGTTTAGGGAGCACTCTCCCCAGTCTCTTAGCAAAAACTTTGTCGATAAGTTTATTTATGCTACCGATCAGATTTATCGGCCGTAGATCTTTGATCTCCTCAACTATATCCTTCTTAGGCGCCAGACACACAAAAGAGTGAGTAACACTTCTTAGCAAAAACTCCATGGTGAAACTGTCGGGGCCTGGCGCTTTGCTACCATCGCATTCCTTAATTCCTGTCCATATTTCCTCTTCAGAAAAAGGACGACACAAAAGAGCTCGTTCACCATCATCAAGTTGCTGCTCCCAGTTCCAGTTTGGAAATGGCCTTTGAGTCATCCTTTCTCTAAATAGATCTCGATAGAAGTGTACGATCCCCGCAACAACCTCTTCCTTACCTTCAACCATCTGACCCTCTTTTCTTATTCTGTCCACCCGATTAACCTTCCGCCTATAATTTGCCATCCTATGAAAATACCCGGTGTTTTTGTCCCCCAATTTAACCCATACTTCACGCGATTTTTGCCGCCAACAAATCTCTTGAAGAAAAACAGCCTTACTTAGCTCCAATTCTAACCTTGTTCTTTCCTCCTTCTCCACGATCTGAACACTCCTCCCTTCCTGTACACTGTCAATCTCCTTGATCTGCCTAAGCAACTCCTCAACCTTCATATCAATATTACCGAAAACCTCGTTATTCCACACTTTCACCCTGGCTTTAACATGATGAAGCTTTCTAGCGAGCACAAACACATCGCCCACTCCTTTGACACTCACTCCAAACCAGCTGCTGAATTCTTGATAAAACCTAGTATCCTCCAGCCACATGTTTTGAAATTTCCATGGCCTTTTAATAATCTTATTCTCACCCCCACTTTAGAACCAATAGATTATGGTCTGATTCAACCCTTTCCATTGCTGTCAACGTGCACTCCGGATACAACAGATCAAAACCTTGTGATATTAGCACCCTGTCAATTCTGGAAAGTGAGGTCCTGCTAGATCCATGGCTCCATGTGAAATTGCTTCCGCCTAGGGGAAGATCTAGCAACCCATTAACATCGATGAAATGGTTGAACTCATACATCAGCTCCGAGCTCCTTCTTGTTCCTATATAATCACTATGACTTCTAACCAAGTTGAAGTCCCCAACTAAACACACTGCCCCTGTCTGCTGTGAGCAATAAGAATGTAACTCTCTAAGAAAATCCAGCTTTTCTTCCTTTTCCTGCTGCCCATAAACCACGACCAGATGCCATTCTTTTAACGTACCCAACTCAACAAGATCTACTGCGATGAAGCACTTCCCTTCTGAGTATGATCTTTTCGAGTAATACAGCTTATCCCAAATCACTGCAATACATCCCGCACTTCCTCTTGCATCTTTGGCAACCCATTCACAATCCTTCCTACCGAAAACGCTAACAATCAAACTCGCTGAGCATTTTGCCCATTTTGTTTCGATTAGCCCCGCTATTATTGGTTGTTATCTCCCGATAAGACGTTTGATCATGCATCTCTTATCCCCCTCCCCCTATGCCCTTGTTCCCTGACCCATCCACGTTAGAAACAGCCGAACCTCTTACCCTATTCTCCTTGACCTGATTACCCTGAATCCACACCGGGCCTTCTTTCCTCACCCACCTTCTCATCGTATTGATGCGCCCCACCTTCAAATTCTGGCGGCTTAGCCGCTCTCCGATAGACGAAAAATCTAACTCGTCTCCTCGATTCCCCTCCCAACGTGCATGTGCGTTCGACCGAGGCACACTCTCCAAAATTTCTGGTCCCTTCCCCAACTCTTCGTCTTCTTTCTTTCTCCCTGAATATTCTCGGTTACAGCCCACCGCCGGTGGAACCATTATTCCCACCGTGAAAATTTGATTTCCATATCGAAGGTTGATCTTCTCCTGAATCTCTCTAGTTTTTTAATCCTTATCCGGACGAAAGGCACGCACCACGAATTCCAGTCTATCTCCACAAGACTTCGGCAAAAATTCCCAATCCTTTTGATGAGGTCAACACTCTTAAGGTGCAACAGGATTTCAGCCACCAGAATCGACGTACCAACGCTATCCGAAATTGGCTCGACTTCGTTCCAACCAGAGATTTGTAAAGATGATCCTTGGAACCTCAGATGATTAAGCTTATTTATCCTCAAAGCCTCAGTAATGCTTGGACACACCACAATCCAACTGCCATCGCACCTGTCTTCGATTGCAAAATTGTCATCTATTGTCTAGTTCACCCTTGCCCAACTTCTGAACCTTGGAATGTCTTCTGCCGTGACTGATGTACCCGTACCCCACCTGATTATCAAGCATCTGCCCAGCAATACTTTCCTTTCGTTCACTCCTTCCTTACCCACTTCAATGTACCTCTCACGTCCCCGCTCAATAATATTGCACTTCCCAGCTCCATATACTCCTACCCCCTTCACTGCCTCGGCATACGTCCGTCCTGGAAGTCTCACACTCCATGCTTCCTTCACCGGCGAAATCTGTGGTGAACCAGAATCACCAGCAGTCTTGATTCTCCTTTTCAGTTCATCTCTATATACTTCTCTTAACATGTTTATAACCGGAGCCCATCCTCCCCGCCTGTCTTCGTCGGAGATAATCACCTTAAACATCCTACCATTCCCTGCTTGCTCTGATATCTGGATAAACTTTCCCCGCCAGTTTTCCGTGCTACCAATATGAATTACTCTGCCCCCACTTTTCTTCACGCACCCCCCGGAAACCTCCATTTCTTCCGCGCCGCTATTTGTAATACACCTTGTATCCACGAAATGAGGACTTCATCTAACATCACACTCCATCTCTTGTCGCCGCTTTCCACAAGTAGCTTGTACCACCCTTTCCCGTCGTACTCATCCCTTCGAACTGACACAATCTTTTCACCCATCCGTACCTTCCTTCTGATCTCGCCCTTGTCCGCCTCGTTGCCACTGCTTGACCCTTCAACTTCCGACCTACAAAACAAAAAACAACCGCTCTCCCTTCCCTGAGAAACCCCGTTGCCTCGCCTTCTCTCCATTTCTCTCTCCCCGCGCCTCTTCAGAAACTTATATTGGATGTTCTAAATTGTTTCGAGCCACTAGGCGTGTTTATTCCTAGGTTTAACAATTTTATAAATTGAGGGAGGTCTAGGAGATAGCTGTAATTTAATTTGGGGATTTTTGAAGATGTATTTCTATTTTTAGAAATTTTTCGAATTTCTATATTGTTTAAAAAAAATCATACCGAGTGGATTTTAAGGGTTTGATAAATTTACAAGGTATAGGTGCTCATGATTGACATAGGAAAATTATTATCCAAATTTTTAAGAAGGTTCAGGGTAGGTGAAAAATTCGTCCAAGACAAGAATAATTAGGAAAAATGGTCGGTTTTTAAGGAATTATTTCTAGAAAATTTTGAAATGGGTTAAGGGACCTTTGGAGCGAGGCTTGAGGGCTGGATTTTGAGGAGAGGATGTTCTAGTGATCAACGTCCTGGGTCATCCAATCTAGTCCTAGGCTGTTCTAGAGGTAAGGGAACTCGATCCCTTTGAGTTAGGTCGATTAATTTGGGAATTTTTCGTGAGGGTGCAATTCTGGGTTTTTAGGAACAGACGTTACAGGCTTTTAGTGACAGATTTTGGGTGGTCACTAAAGCTGCTGAGAATTTGCAGAAACTTATATTGGATGTATTAAATTTTTTCGAGCCTCTGGGGGTGTTTGTTCCTAGGTTTAACAATTTTATAAATTGAGGAAGGTCTAGGAGATGGATGTGATTTAATTTGGGAATTTTTGAAGATGTATTTCTATTTTTAGAAATTGTCCGAATGTTCAGATAACCGAGCGGAAATTTACGTTCGTCGAAGTTTTGGCCTAGGTTAGGTGTTCACCGCTTCCAACGGAAGCAATGAAGCCCAAATATGTATAGATTGAAAATATATTTTACAGGGTAAGTGCCACATTTGATTACTGGGATTACTAAATCGTGTTATGTTTAGTTACTAGAAAAGATTATTATCAATTTTGGTCACTCGAATTACTAAAACAGGTCACATTTAGTCACTCTCCTGTTACCCTACGTCCAACTCCGGTCACTCGCATTATCTTTTTTTTTTTATGAATATCACTCGAATTAGTGAAACATGTCACATTTAGTCACTATCCGTTAGCCTCCGTCCAACTTCGTTAATGCAATTAGACAGAAACTAAAGGGAGAATGACTAAATGTGACATGTTTCACTAATTCGAGTGATCAAAATTAATATAAATTTTTCTAATGACTAAATATGACATGATTTAGTAATCTTTTGTGACCAAATGTAGTATTTATCCTATTACAAAATGTGTATATTTGGAAATTTATTTTAATGAGGTGTGTACTTGGGGGGAAAAAACTCGAGTTTGATCTGCAGCCTTTTCCAGCAGTGAGAAGACACACACTGACAAAACTCAAAGCAGTGAACGAACCACTTCCACCTTTATGTTGTGACCCTCCCTTGACATTATAAAACGTAAAACATTCCATGACAATCTGATGCAGAAAGTTGCATAGACATTCAGGTGAAGGAATTTTACAATGTTATATGTTTTCATCTTTGTGGTAAAATTTGAAATTGTACCTTTAACGTTATGGTACAATTCATATTGTACCTATACTTTTTGAGCAAATTTTTTTATAGTACAACTTGAACTTTTACTTTTATGTAATGGTACAACTTCAAGATGTATAGTTGTACCATAATATAATGATACAAATTCTTTTATGATACAACCTAAATTTATACATTTATTGTTATGGTACAACCTAAAATTGTACATTAAAGCATCAATACTACATAACATCGTAGAAATGCTCCAGATTCGTGCCACGATAAGAATATATAGGATATAAGAATAATGTACTTTCACTTATTCATTCAAATCGTACAAAACCAAGCTAAACAGAAAAGAAAAGAAAAACAACTCGTCAAGAAGCCGAACCACAATACATATCAGCCACCAGTTATGTCTTTCCTTATTACCAGTAAGATTGGACTGAAAATTGCAGAGTTTTCTTACAAGAAAGCGAAGTAGCTCTTCGTTCTCGCTAGTTTGAACAGATGTTATGCTCTCAGCATATATATATGTTCTCCACTCCGTATAGGGGAAAAACGTTCCTCTTCTCCAGTGCATAGACATGCAATGTATACATGGATGAAGCAGCTGCTGAAGGCTGCTCATAGTTGAAAGGTAACCAACAGCCGTCTTGTACCCAACGCATTACTCTACAAATGCATCTTGGTTTCTCAGACGGCAAGTATAAATAAAAACACGTTACTAAGCAAAATAAAAGAAAGAACATATTGTTCAGTGACTGGATGTCTCAGAGTAGATACACATATCCTATTCGGGAACAAGAAAGCAAAGTTCATTTACAGTAGCTTCCTAGTATATTCAATATAAGCTACATGGGTATATCTCAACCAAAGCAAAACAAAAAAAGTTCATGCATGCTTCAATCACTGAACGCATCTTCACAAGATACTATCATGCAAATCACAACAACAAAAGAATGAGATCTTACCTGCTGCAAAATCAATCATCAACCTCGGCTCTAATCTCTTTTTGCAATTCCTCCTTGTATTCTTCAAACGTCCCATCGAAAAACTTCACGGTTCCATCTTCCACAACCCAGATTTGACTCCTTTCTTCATCATCACAAACTCGGGAGATCAATCTAGAGTCATGACTAACCAGGACAACCCCACCAGTAAACTCGTCTAGAGCATCAGCTAGTGCATCAATACTCTGCATATCCAAATGATTGGTGGGTTCATCCAATAACAAAATGTGAGGCTTTGACATGGATATTGACGTAAATACAACACGAGCTTTCTGTCCACCAGATAGTTTAGCAATAGGGGTAAGATGATTATGGCTGGGTAGTCCATATTTCCCAAGTTTTGCACGCACAGCCTCTTGTTTGCTAAACCCTTCTTGTTCTGGATGCAGTCTCAAAAGATACTGAACAGGTGTTTCACCCATTGTGAGGAGGTCCACAAAGTGTTGCGAGTACCTTCCAATTCTCAATTTCTGACTTCTTCGTACTTCCCCCTCAGTAGGATCCAAATCGCCAGCAAGCAGGTTCAGCAAGGTAGACTTTCCAGCTCCATTGGGTCCAACAATCGCAACGCGGGTTCCCATATCAATACCCACATCAACATTTGAAAGCCTAAAATCAGGCCGATTTGGATAGCTGAAGCTAACTTCAATAAGCTGCAAAAGTGGAGGTGTGAGCTCAGTGGGTTCAGGAAAATGGAATTCGACGCTATAATCCCTCCATTTTCTTGGGGCTTCAGCAGGCACATCATCATCGTCAACTTTCCCCTTAGCTCGGCTCTTTGATGCATCCTTGTTTGCAGCGAACTTTACACGATCTTTGACCTTCTCCTGCTGAGCCCTACTCCCAGTCTTCTTGGCAGCTTTCATCTGCTTCTCGTAAGTCTCAAATTTCTTATTAACCTCTTTCCGCCTTTGGTCATACCCACTTTCGAAATCATCAAAGTTCCCACGGTATGTGTGAAGCTTAAGATCATGCAGATGAATGATTTCATTACAAACTGTGTTAAGGAAATCGCGATCGTGCGAGACAACCACCAAAGTTTTCTTCCACCTGCATAAGTACTCCTCCAGCCATAAGACAGCCCTAAGATCAAGATGGTTTGTCGGCTCATCAAGCAACAATAGAGTTGGCTGCACAAAAAGTGCACGAGCAAGAGAAATCCTCATCCTCCACCCTCCACTAAAAGACTGAGTTGCACGAGCCTGCATATCCGTTGTAAAACCTAGTCCAGCTAGAATCTTTGACGCCTGAGCTTCAGCAGCATCTGATCCCATTAGCTGCAATTTATCGTACAGTTCAGCAAGCTTAGCTCCTGCATCATCATGGTCATCATAATTGTCAATCCCTTCATCACCAACTAAAGATAATTTCTGCAATGTGTCCACTTCTTGTCGCAGTTTGACAAGTTCCTCGTTAGCTGAAACAACTGCCTGTAGAGCAGATTTATCATCACCAACAACTTCTTGCTCAACCAGCAGGACATCAATGTTCTTAGGGACTGGTATCTTCCTCCAAGCAAGAAGCTTCAAAAGTGTAGATTTCCCCATCCCGTTCGGTCCAACCAAACCATATCTCTTTCCATGGGATATCTTAACTTCCGTATTCTTTAAGAGCTCCTTCCCACGTGCCGACACAGAAAAGTTGTCAATTGAAATATCCTTGACATTGGCATCACCTTCTTCCTCTCCAGCAAGGACCGATGCACGGCTTCCAATGACAACAGTAAATGCATCATGGTCATCCTTGAGAGCCTCCTTCCTTGCCAACTCAGCAGCTTGAGCGGCAAGGAGTTCCTTCCTTTCCCGCTTCTTTAACTCTTTTTCTGAAAGAGAAGCCTCAATGGGCTTCAAGAACTGCTGCTGGTTAGATCTCTTGGGAGCATCCATCTGGTTTCCCTCCTCGCCCGAGACATAATCATCATCATCGTCATCAGATGGAGGGAGATCAATGTCATCGTAGGCTTGAGCTTTTGGCTTAGGCTTTGGCTTGGGTTTACTGGAAGAAGGTGCTTTCTTGGGATTATCAGGTTTGTGATCCATACTAGCTAACATGGCAGATACAGAGAGTTTATCTTTCTTCCCAGTTGTAGCTGCCTCTTTGGTGGCTGCCTTACCCTTCCCGGCACCCCCAGCATCATCAGATTTCTTTTTCCCCATCGCAACTATTCAGTTCCTCAAATCTCCTGTGTTATGCAGGCCTTGCACTCCGTTCTGAGACAAACTTCCTGCCAATTACAGGAGAAGTTAAGAAGGGCATTAACTAATTATACAAAGACACAAAGAGCAGAGAAAGATATCTACTTAGTCACAGAAACAGCCTCAAACAATCACCCAGCCCTCCCTTCTTTCCCTATTACATAGGGAGAACAAAAACAGCCTAAAAAGAAATCTAAACTTCAATGCAAGCGAAAGCACAAGAGATACGACGAGAAGCAAACAACACAAACAGCAAGCAATTAACCCTAAAAACTTGCAACTAGATCACTCGGCCGAGGTTTCACTAAGTTTCAATCCGACTTTTATACAATCTAAGCGAATGCGATCGGATTAAAGGAGAACCGGATCTTACCTCAAAGTAAGAAATCAGGCGGGAGCAGCTGAACAACGGCAGCGCAGGCGACAAGAGAGTGGCGGCGAGAGGATGAGAGGAATTAAGAGACGGAACTGTGGAGAAACCGAAAAAACGGCGAGAGGCTGGCGGAGCGGCGAGGAAGGCGAGAAGTGGAGGATGCGGCGCTAAGGTGCTTATTGATCTCTTTTCGGGTTTGGGAAAGAGTTACTTCGGTTCTCAAACAAACTCTTTGTTATTGGGCTTGGAATGGCCGGTAGCCCATCAAGCGTGGAGGAATTTGAAACTGATTCACACTAGGACTACTTACTAAGTAGATTATATATATATATATATATATATAGAAAAGGGCGCGGGCGCGGGCGCGGCCTAAGTATTGCGGACGGAGACAGTTATTGACATGAATTTTACCTCAGCCCTGCTTGCTTTTCTGCCTCCGACCTTGACTACCTATGACCCTTCGTCTCTCCGGTAAGCTCAACCGTTTGCCGATCTTCACCAAACCCTCTCCGTTCCTGTCGTTCAAGCTCGCTCGTTTCTCCCGCTTCTTCGAAACCCTCCTTTCTCGTTTCTCCTTCTTTAAAACCCTTCTCCCCCTACGTCGTTCTTCTCTTGCTTCCTACTCCGGTGCATCTATGGGGGACGATTACTTTTCCTCCAGCGGCAGTGACGACAACAACAACTCATTCGAACTCGGTTTCAACAATCTCCACAGCTCCGGCTCGTCTTCCTCGGCCAGTAACCAGTGTCACAATGTGATTTTTCTCAACGACGACGAGGAAGACGCCAATGAGGTCGAAAAACTCTACTTGGTCCTTCTCAGGTGCCCTTTCTGCAAATAACTTGCTCTTCCCCACCTCTATTTTTATCGTTTGTGCTTGACTTGCTATACTTAGGGGCAGGGATTAGAGAAATATACTTTGGCGGGCAGATGAGAATTTTGGGCGAGAGCCAAATAGCTTTCTTTTTCTCCACATCAACCAGCGAATTAGCCGAATTGCTGTATGCTTGTGAACTCTGAAACTAACTGTATCTTGCCTTGCCTTGATTTTTTCCTTGAATTTAGTTTCTTTTCCTAGTTGCTAGGAAATAATCACAACTCAGGTTCACGATGTTATTGGTGTTCAATTAGTGATGTTGCCGTAATGGTGCTTTTGGGGCATTTTTAGATGGTGGAGGAAGGTGCAGCATATGTCAAATCATGTTGGAGTCTCGTATAATGTTGCTTCGAGCTATGATGATGTGGAGATTGAACTCTACTTAAAGAGAGGTGACAAAACCATGGAGAATGATGATGTGGAGGAAGGGTTTTCAGGCAGGGAGTATGCGTTGTTATCAGAAACAATGTGGTTACGAGCACTTAAGTGGTAAGTGAAGGTTGCTCTCTTTTGTTCTGTATGTTAATGACTTGTGTATTTAAGTGGGGCTGCGATTGTTGTGTGCAAGTGTTGTCAGATACTGCTGTTAGTTGCTTCATATTTTGAAGTTCAGTTCTTATTGTAGGTTAACTCGTGTACTTGAGGTCACTTTTAGTTCCAACATGGGTAAACAGACGGGAGAAACATTGTCAAATGAGCTATTATAGCAAATCATATTAGAGAATGTGTGTGTATGTCTGTGTGATAGTTGATGAACTTGTTGGTTTGTGGAACTCTATACACTTAAGGATTTCTAGAATTTTGATCTTGATTTGCGGAATTTTTGCAGGCATAATGATTTGAAAAGTATATCGAAGGATGTTGCTTACCCTTCTCTTGCGAAGGACAACGATCAAGATCTATTTTCATTACAGATCAGGCTTTCTGTTTCCGGGGGAGCAAATGCTTTATTTGCAAGGATCAATTCAAAGGTCATAAATCCTTTCCTTACTTTTAAATAGCAATACCCTCATTCAATAGTAATTGATCACATGTGGTTTTTTCCAGTGTGGCAGTCAGTTAAATTTTAAAGAAAGCAAAGCACGAACTTTCTTTGTGATGCAATGGCATAGTCCACTTCCACTATTTTGTATATCTTTTTCTTATGTAACAAAATGTTGCAGGACAATTTCTTCGTTTCATACCGGAGAGCCTGTTCTCTTTTTGCTCCCAAGTCCGAGCCGGTTAGCCATTTTCTTAGTACCTTTTCAGATGTGTTATTTGGGTTTACACAGATATTATGTAATGCATATTCTTTGTGCAGTTGAGTATTTGGGATTTCTCTGGCCAGACAACTCAACTTCTTATAAACAATCAGATTAAGAGGCCTAGTGCTTTACTCAGAAAATCATTAGAAAAGGAGGTACCTGTTTGTCAACTATTTCCAATCATACTTATTCAAATTGGTAGTGCTTGGCATACCTTGATCGATTATTTTTTCCCTAATCAGTGAGACATTTGAGTTGTAACGTAAATGGTCACGGTTCTCATTCTCCATATATAACTAATTTCTCTTTCTTGCCATCTTGACAGATCACACTTGAATTACAAGTACATGGATTTTCAGAGTTTCTCGCCGAGCAAGATGGTAAAGTAGACGAGAGGGTGGGATATAACAACTCATCGTCTTTCAACTATAGTGGCTCAATTAAAACGAATGGAAGCAGTGATTGGACAGTGACTTACCCGAGATCTACAAACTCCCTAGCTTTCTTTAGTGGTCATAGAGAGGTTGTTTTCCTGGGTCTGAAAGGGATGCAAAATCTCGGGAATACTTGTTTTATGAATAGCGCAATTCAGTGTCTGGCACACACCTCAAAGCTGATTGATTATTTCCTTGATGACTACAAGAAAGAGATCAATTGGGAAAATCCACTCGGAATGAAAGTAAGTCATGTTCACTCTATTCTTTTTTGGTTGATTTCACCTTTTATGCACCGCTCATTCTTCTACACGTTCCTTTTATCTAGGGTGGGCTTGCGGTGGCATTTGGAGACTTGTTAAGGAAACTATGGACTCCAGGATCAAGCTCCATTTCTCCGACAATATTCAAACAGAGGCTTGCTACTTTTGCTCCCCAGTTTAGTGGTTATAATCAGCATGATTCTCAGGTTCATCTAGTGGTTGATTCAATTGCATTTACGGTTACCTTGTTTTATTTTGCACAAGTACTAAATTATCAAGTCATTGCAAATTCTCTTACTTGTATATTATTTCTGCAGGAGTTTCTTGCATTTTTGTTGGATGGATTACATGAGGATTTGAATCGTGTAAAAGACAAGCCATATATAGAGGGTAAAGATTCAGAAGGTCGTCCAGATGTTGAGGTTGCAGAAGAATGCTGGCAGAATCATATGGCTAGAAATGACTCAATTATAGTCGATATTTCCCAAGTAAGTCCTCAGTTATGCAAGAGTTTGTGCTTTACCACATCAGTGAAGCACTACACTATTCGTTTACTGTTCATATATCATGAAACACAAAGTTGTTTTTTGTGCCATTCTTCAATCAAGAGTCAGTACCCACTTGTGATGTCTTTCCTGCGATCAAAAAGCCAGTTGATATTACACAAATCGATTTGCCCATATTAGTTCATTTTCTTCCAAATCGCCAGTTAGTCAAACTTTTGAACCTTATTTAAAAAAAAAATTCAAGTTTACTAAGTTTTTTTTTCTTTTCTTTCCCTATTGTTATTGTAGGGACAATATCGCTCAACCTTGGTTTGCCCTATTTGTAAAAAGTCATCTATCACATTTGACCCGTTTATGTACCTATCTCTGCCCCTGCCTTCAACAACAATGCGGAAAATGACTCTAACAATCTTGGGTGCTGATGGAGTTTGCACACCATCTCCAGTTGTAGTTACTGTCCCGAAGTGTGGAAGGTTAAAGGATCTCATTGACACCTTAAGCAGTGCATGTTCCTTGAGAAATGACGAGACTCTCATATTGGCAGAGGTAAGTTATAACATATCCATTCTTTAACGTTACCATTTACGACACTCATGTAGTATGTTATGGATAATGGATACAACTTTTCATGTTGAAGAATTTGAAGTTCTGTGGGATTGTTATGAGTTAGATGCAAGCATATTATTAGGTATAAAACATGCTAAATTAGTTCTCTTATTATTATTTGATAATAATACTCAAACGTTCTCTGTAATAATTATACAAAAATCTCTATTTATGGATTCTTGTGTAGGAACTATATGCTTTGTGGGGGAACAGTGTCAACTGTTGTCCTAACTCCTAGTCTGTCAAATGAAATATGTATCTTTTCCATCATATGCTCATTAACCAGTTAGTAGGTGTTTTTAGCTTTTGTAGCATATTTGATGTTTACATTACCGAGAGTTTGAAGTGTATATCGTACTAATTCGAACTTATGGTTTCTTATGCAGATATATAATAATACTATTTTTAAAATATTTGATGATCCAACTCGCTCATTAGACTCGATCAGGGATAATGATACACTTGTTGCCTATTGTTTGTCAAAAGAAAGTGAATCATCCAAGGCTCCCTTGGTTGAGTTTGATCATAGACGTGAGAAAACGTGAGGTTCAATTCATTATTTTTCCTTTGCGTAGTATTATTTGTTGATTATTGTGCAGATATGTTTCCTGATTCTTTGGTTCTTTTTTCCCCCTTTTCTTTCTTTCAGGCCCATAGGATTTTTTTACTTTCAGAAACCATCACCTTGGTCATTATTTGGGACTCCATTGGTTGCGAGATTATCTGATATCTCTGATGGATTCAGCCTTCACAACCTGTTCATGACACTTGTCAATCCATTTCTGAAGCAGGTTGAAGTTTTACTTAATGATTATGATGGGAGAATTATCTCTAACGAAGATTCTGGGATGGAATATGCAATGAGCCCTACAAAATGTACAGAAGACTCTGAAAATGAAACTGAAGATGATGGTCAGCATATCATTCCTGATTTTAGATTCTATCTGGATGATAAGGAGATAAGGATGGACGATACATTTGCAGTTTCTGATTTCAGCTATAGTACTATACGCGTGAATGTATGCTGGTCAGAGAAAATGATAGCAAAGTACGGTAGTTGGCTGCTCAATCCATTGCAAAAAGTCTTCAACCCCATGGAGGGGTCTGAGGAATCTGTTCCATTACACAAATGCCTTGAATCCTTCTTGAAAGAAGAGCCTTTAGGACCAGATGATATGTGGTTAGTACATTTTTATCTCGATTTACGAATTTTATTGCTCCAGTTAATCTTTGTGGAGGTATTTCATTGTTTTCTGTTTGTTACTACAGGGACTGTCCCGATTGCAAGATGCCTAGGCAAGCAACAAAAAAGCTGGATCTTTGGAGATTGCCTGAAATTTTAATTGTTCATTTGAAGAG